CATATTTTCTGGTAATATAATTGAACTTTTTAAGATGTTCGATATGTTCTTTTAAATTTCTGCTATGAATAACAATATCATCTACATAAACTATGCAGAAGTTTTTTATTGGTCTAATAATCTTATCCATTCTTTACTGAAATATTGTTGGTGCATTCATTAATCCAAATGACATAATTTTCTTGTATATAAGAAAATTATATTTACCATAAGATCTGAATTTGCCATGTCCTTATTAGATGAAAACTTAAGTTTAGGATTAAATTTATATCACAAAATTGATAGATTAATTATGCCACCAAGAAGTAAAGCCATAACTTTACATTGTAAAGCTTTATATGCCTTCACTACTACGCACCAAAAAGAAATCAATAAGATCTCAGGAGACTTCATACAAATTCATGAAGATTTTAGAGACCTATCACAATTTACACCACCAAAAATGTTAAGTAATCATAACATTTCTTTACCACAAAATATATTGCTTGATTTTCATCAGCAATCTAGAAGAATAGACAATAATGTACGAAATCTAGGATTAGTCACCTTGAATACCTCCAGACAACTTGTAGTTAGAATGTCTAGTAGAAGAATAGAAAGAAATATCAGCACTAGAGAACTCTCAAGTTCTAGTAAAACATCTACAAGTAAAAACTACCCAACAATACCTAGAAATCGCATTAATATTGACCTTAGAAAATGTGAGGAAGAAAATTTCCTTATCTTAAAAGAATATATAAATAATCAAAATAACTACGAAGAAATTATAGCCCTTGTTAATACAGGAGCTACTACCATTCATATAAGAGCAGACTTAGTTGACAATTTATTAGAAGAAGATTTACCATAAGGAATAACTCTTACAGATTATCATGTAATTAAATATGAAATTAGAACATTTGTTAATCTTGAATTAAGTTTTATAGACGTAGAAGGAGAACAATTTAGATTACATCTTCAAATCCATAAAGATTATAGAAAATGAGAAGATAATAGTCTAATATTACTTGGAATAAACTTTTTTGAAAACAGTCTTGGTACTTTCTCTAAGGAAATTAGAACTCCATAGATATTACCTTATTACACGCTTCACTTCCAAGAAAGAAACTGAAAATGTTAGAAGATTTTGAAATCCTAGATAGCGAGTCTTCTCTCTCCCTTTCTTCTGTGAATTAGTCTTCAATTTATAGACCGAAAAAGTTTCCCAGTTGTCCTTCATTATTGTTGCTTTAAATGTATAAGATATTGGGTATCTTACTATGGCCTAAAGTTTTCTTGTCATAATATGGAAAATTATTGAGGTAAATTCACAATTTTTCTTTATCAGAATGATTCTGATAAAGTAGTGATAAGGGGGTCCTATACTTTTCCATATGCGAGTCAAACCACTTTTCCGGAAATTCTTTTGGGTCTAGGGAGATTGGTGAGACGTCGTCTTCAGTGTTACAGTATGCACACTTGTGATTAGGATAACTCCAAAACTGCTTGCACAGCCCATCTTTTGCTTTCTGTGTTCTACTAGCGTGTCCTTCAAAGACGTGATCACATCATGTGTCAAGATAGTGCAAATCTTCTTGTTTAGTGGGTGCTACAACTTTACTGTAAACCATATGATCTTGTAACTCGTATATCCAAATATTTTGTTTTTCTTCAATAACCTTCTGGATATGCTCAAACTGCTCTTTGTATCCCTTGACTCTACGGAAGGCTATCATATTGGTGATATCTTATGGTGTAGATTCTATGATTTCACTCTTCTCAGGCTGGAAGTGCTTAGAAGTAGTGGTCATTCTTAGACATGGCTTGCTCGAAGCAACCTTTCTTCTTAGCGTTATCCTAATCACAAGTGTGCATACTGTAACACTAAAGACGTCTCACCAATCTCCCTAGACCTAGAAGAATTTCCGGAAGAGTGGTTTGACTCGCATATGGAAAAGTAAAGGACCCCTTTATCACTACTTTATCAGAATCATTCTGATAAAGAAAAACTGTGGGTTTACCTCAATAATTTTCCATATTACGACAAGAGAACTTTAGGTCACAGTAAGATACTCAATATCTTACACAGTTAAAGCAACAATAATGAAGGACAACTGTGAAACTTTTCCAATCTATAAATTGAAGACTAGTTCTCAGAAGAAATGGGAAGAGAAAAAAGAGAGAAGACTCGCTATCTAAGATTTCAAAATCTTGTAACATTTTCGATTACTTTCTTGGAAGAGAAGCGTGTAATAAGGTAATCTCTAGGGATTTCTAATTTCCTTAGAAAAAGTACCAAGAGTGTTTTCAAGAAAGTTCATTCCAAGTAATATTCGACTAGTAACTTTTCCTTTTCTATAATCTTTATGGATTTTAGGATTTAATCTAAATTGTTCTCCTTCTATATCCGTAAAACTTAGTTCAAGATTTCACGGGTTACCTCTCTTCTTAGCACAGAAAGGGACACCGTGCGGCAGTAGTCTGCTCCGCTAGACTACCTTCCGCCTTCTCTCAATCGTTTCGAGACGAAAGGAAATTTGATTACAATTTAAAAAAAGCTTGAAACATAAAATTAAAATGCATTTAACATAAATTTATCATTGACTGCTTGAAAGCTAGAAATTACAATAGATGAAAGCAGAAAATTACAATGGTTAGTACAGGGGGTATTAGTCTTTCAAATATCTTTCAATCTTAAACACAAGAACATTTATATTAGATTTTTCACTGCAAGTCCTGAATGGGATGATGATAAAGATAGGTTGCTTCCAGCAAGCCATGTCATAAGAATGGCCACTACTTCTAAGCAGCTCCAGCCTGAGAAAAATGAAGTCATTGAATCTATACCAGAAGATATCATCAATATGATAGTCTTCCGTAGAGTCAAGGGATACAAAGAGCAGTTTGAATATATCCAGAAGGTTATTGAAGAAAAAAGAATATTTGGGTATACGAGTCAAAAGATCACATAATTTACAGTAAAGTTGTGCATTAAACAAGAAGATTGTCATTATCTTGACACATGGTGTGATTCACATAATTTACAGTAAAGTTGTGCACTAAACAAGAAGATTGTCATTATCTTGACACATGGTGTGATCATATCTTTGAAGGACACGCTAGTGGAACACAGAAAGCAAAAGATGAGTTGTGCAAGCAGTTTTGACGTTATCCTAAATTCCTAATCACAAGTGTACATACTATAACACTGAAGACGACGTCTCACCAATCTCCCTAGACCCAGAAGAATTTTCGGAAGAGTGGTTTGACTCGCATATAGAAAAGTAAAGGACCCATTTATCACTATTTTATCAGAATAATTTTGATAAAGAAAAACTGTGGGTTTACCTCAATAATTTTCCATATTACGACAAAAGAACTTTAAGCCATAGTAAGATATTCAATATCTTACACAATTAAAGCAACAATAATAAAGGACAACTGTGAAACTTTTCCAATTTATAAATTAAAGACTAATTCTCAGAAGAAATTAGGAGCGAAAAAAGAGAGAAGACTCGCTATCTAGGATTTCAAAATATTGTAACATTTTCAGTTTCTTTTTTGGAAGCAAAGTGTGTAATAAGGTAATCTCTATGAAGTTCTAATTTCCTTAGAGAAAGTATCAAGAGTGTAGCCGAATATGTATGTACACTCTTATGTAAGAGATATTAGTGTGATGTGTTTATGAAAATCAAGTTGTTTGAAAATACTGTCTTTCTATTCTTGTTATTTTCTCAAAAACTCTTATCTTACTTAAACTCCAACGATGAGAACCTTGAGGGTTGTGCTAGTATCTTGTTGCCGTTTAGCCGTGTGTTGGCATTTGAGGCGTTGTTAGAGAAAGCCATTAGAACCCTGTTANGTGATTCCGTGTGATCCATTGTAAGATATGCAAATAAGTCAGATAGAATACTAATAAGTGTGCGGAAGTCGTGTTGGACGATAACCCCCTTTCTTAAATTCAAATAACACCAATCACTTATATATATGAGTATACTAACATATGGATGCAAACTCAAAGGAAATCTCATTGATATCACTCTATTTTTACCTTCTGCTTCAATACCGTAAGATCTTTCTTATTTATGTCAAATACTTGCATTACTATTTGCACTCTTGCTATTTATAAAATTTTAGTTATTTTTATTCAAAACTTAAATAGAGAATCACGGGGACTATTCATCATAATGTTATAGATTGATGTTAGGATATACGATTGAAGGATTAGATAATCTATTAGAAAAATTGTTAGAAAAGATAAAAAATATTACTTCCCAACTAGAAAATATAAATATATTATCTGAAAAATATAATAGATTTAAAGAAAAACATGAACAGCATATTACAGATTATTCTAATTTATTAGATCATAGAATGGATTTATATATTGAAATTCAAAATATAAGAAATACAAGATAAAACTAGTTTTTAAATATATTTCGAGAGAAAGGATATTTTCTGCAATATATAAGAATTGATGCTTTGACCAGACCATTTTTAAAAGTACCCCCATCACAGATAACAGATTCAACTTCAACAGAAAGCCTGCTTAATCAAATAAATCCCAAGATTTCAAACAGGTTCCATTAAAAAAAATTAAACACCTGAATCACCCTGAAAACTTAATTCGATCTGAAATTGGAGAAACTAGAGATAAATCAAAACTAATCATAAGACTATCAATGTTATTCAAAAACAAATCTTTATAAATCTTTCTGTTATGCCCATTACAGATTCAACTGAAAGATTGCTAAATCAAACGAATCCCAAGATTTTGAATATGATAAATTGTGAAAAATAAAGCTTGGATGCATCAGGAAAACTCAAAATTGACTGGAATTGGGGCAACTAGAGAAAAACCAAAACTAATCATTAAACTACCAATGTTAATTAAAAACCAAACTTCATAGATTCTTCCTCATAACCATTGCAGATTCAATAGAAATGCTGCTAAATTAAACAAATCCCAACATCTCAAACATGTTCAATTCCAAAAACTAAACATCAGAATCATCAAGAACGCTCATAAACGCCCCGAAATTAGAGGGAAGAACACTTACGGAAAAATCGACCTTATAAATCAAACAAATCCCAGGATTTCAGACACGTTGAATTCCACAAACTAAACATCAGAACACTCAAAATGGACCAAAATTAGGGCAAAGAGAACGATCCATTTATAGAAAAAAGGGACTTCGTGGCAGGGATGTACAATAAAAAGAAAACTTACGAATTCTTTGATAATTCCCTTGTAGACGAAGACAGGGAGGGCGATGCCGAAAAGGCCAACAAGAGCGAAGTTGCGGCGGGTCCACCTGAAATTGTGCTCCAGGTTCTCACGCGCAGACGACCAATCCTCTATCCACTTGTTCTTGTGAGCTTCCATTCCTCCGCCCATTTTTCCGTTTCTTCTCGCTGAATTCTCTTTGTTCCTCGAGGTAAAGATACAGTTGGAAAAATGGTTGTTCTAGCACGGATTTTGAACAGAGTCGCGGTACATGTACAAAGTTGGGATAAAAATTTGTTCACAAAACAACATCTACATCAATAATTTTAAATACAAATTTTTAAATCATTTAAAATTAACGATTTGAATTTTACCAACACACTTTGTAACCCAACTTTTGTAACTCACATTTGTACAAATAACTTTATTGTTTTGGATAGTTTAAAAATAGTACATAATCGATATTAATTTTAGTTGTTTTTTTTATACTCTTCTAATTTTACTTTTTATAAAATAATTATTTTCAAACGATATATTCTTTCAAATTATCTTGTAAATAAAAATATATTAACTAAAAAAATATTTAAAAACAAAAAAAATACATTATAATTAAAAAAAAAAAACTTATAAGCAAAATATTACTTATAAGATAAAAAATTACATAACAAATTAAAAAATTACTTATAAATAAAAAATCGCTTTTATGTAAAAATAATAATTTATAAGATAAAAATACTACTCATAATATAAAAATTCACTCATAAATATAAAAAGTTACTTATAAGTAAAAACTCAATTAAAAGAATTTAAAAGTATAAATTAACTTATAATTATAAAAATTACTTATAAGTAAAAAATATTAACTTGAGTAAATATTTAACTTTATTTTTTTTTTAGTTAAAAATATTAACTTATATGTTAAAAAAAATTACCTATAACTAAAATATCATTTATGAGAAAAAAATTTCATATAAGAACTAAAAATTTTATTAAGAGACATACATGTAATTTTAATTTTTAAAAAAACTTTCAGTGGATAATAAATTCTAGAACATAAGCTAGACAAATTTAAAAATCACTATTAAAATCACTCAAAATCGATCCTCTCATAAACGCTCAGAATCGGTATTTTAAAAAATGTCCATAATGAGTACGCCGACGCCGAAATTCCCAAGCAAATCTTTAGGGGTAAATTTCTAGGATTTTGTTTCCTACCTAACTATTAGAAAAGATTCATTTTAGCTTTTCATCTTTGAATTTTTCCCAATTTAATCACCCAAAAATTTCATTTATTAACCTTACCTTTTACCAATCTGGTTAATTTAACTAAAATTTTGATAAAGAAAAATTTAATCAAAAACAACAATTAATTTTAATTACATATATGATATCTCCAATCGTGTAAATTCGCTATTTATAATATATAATATATTAAATATCACATCAAGTAAGAATCATTTTTTGGACGATTTTATCCTTACTGTAATTTAATTATTTCAATAATACTTTACTTTTTTTAATGTGTATTTAATTATTTAATTATCATCTATGTGCACATACATTTGACAGATTCATTTCACCTGTGTGCTTTCATTAATATATGAATTATCTATTATTAATTCTCAATTAATTAATAATCTTCATTTATACATTCCAGTGTTATTAATTATAATTATAAATTAATTATAATTTCACATTCAAAATGCATTATGGTAATTAACATATACTTTTACTTAATTGAAAATTAAATGAATGATTTAATACATTCATCGTTAAGTTGATATTCCCTGATATTAATTCTAAATTAATTAACATTAACACATATTTAAATATCACTTTTGTAGCACTTATAAAACATTACATAGTAATGTGCAACACACGTTCAACGTTGACTAGTAGATATAAATATGTCCAAACTCATATCAATTTTCATTTTGACATATTGGGAATTTTCCTAGAGGTCCCTTAACATATAGCTTTGTTTCCTATTGCCACAAAACTTTAATTTTATTTTATTTGATCACCAAACTTACCTTTTTTTTTTTTTTTTAAGTTCAATTTGACTATTTTATCAGTAACCGTTACTAAAATTGACAAATATACATGACCTGACCTTACCAACAAAATCCATGGCATAACTTGTATTTTAATTTTGCCTTAGTCATTACATTTATAATTGTTAATAAAATTTGACGAACTTCGTGACGTAATCAATATATTTATCAGCATTAAAGACTCTCCTTTAAAATAAATAAAAATGCAAGGTTCGTACTTTATAGCACTTAAAAAAAAATTATCGTAAAACAAATATGTCGAAGTCATGAATTTTATTGGCCAATTCAAATTTCAAGTTGAATGTAAAGACAAAACAATGGAGCTTGTGCCATTTTTTCAAAATTCTAGTATTTTAAGGATGTAAAAGATAAATTGGGTCTCTGATTTTATTGGCTAATCTGAATTTTAAGTTGACCACATAAGACAAACACAAGAGTTCTAGTGCCATTTTTTCGAATTTTTTTTATTAATTTAAGGTCATTCTACTTTAATAGTACACCTGATATTTAAGATCAAGGACGAGGAATGTGTTGACATGAAGTGTTTGTTCGTCAACCAAATCTCTAGCAAGATGAATAGAGTATCAACCAACTTAATTTTCCACAAACATTGATAGGTTCTAGTATGTGTGTCAACGACACTAGCACGTATTTGATCGCACTACCTGCATCCACACCTTATAATAGTACAGACAAAATTGTGAAAGAAAATTATTAGTTGGAGCCCGTTTGGTGCACATTAAAATGAAAGAATGCATTTTTTTGAAGTGATGTGATGGAAAATATGTGGTTGAAAAACAAGGAAATGTTATTGATGTGATGGAAAATATTATTTTATTGAAAAATGTGTGGTTGAAAATGAGTAGAAGAATGAGAATGAAAAAAATAATATGGATCAAACAGGGGCTCAAGTCTTAAATTCTATTTATAGATGGAACTATGAAATTAAAATAAAAACATTAGTTGAATGACCAGGAAAGAATTAATTAAAGTTGAGTAACTAATATGAAACGAATATGTATATCAGGTGTTTGTAGTGCAATTTTTGTAGAACTATATATTTCTAGGGCTATGAACTCTAGAGAAATATAAGAACTCAGAACGGAGAACAAAAATATCACAAATCAAGTACAGAAATGGCTTCAAAGATTTCCCTAAAGGCGGCGAAAGGAAAGAGCGTAAAGAAGGCGTCGGCGGCTGCCGAGGAGGAGGGATCTACTGCAGCGGCGGCAAAGTTCGTGAAGGAGTGGAGCACGTGGACCGTGAAGAAGGCTAAAGTCATCACTCACTATGGATTCATACCGTTGATTATCATCATTGGGATGAACTCCGAGCCCAAACCCTCCCTCTCTCAACTCCTCAGTCCCGTGTAGTGAAGTATTAAGATTGTAAAATCGCGTATTTCTGTTGAATCGCCTACCCTTTTGCTCTCCCCTTTTCTATTAGTCGACTTTACTTTTGGCGATTTTAAGTGAGGGTTTTGCTCTTAGTTTGTGTAACTGGATAATATGCGTGGTTTAAGAACTTGATTAGTACAACAAGTTTTGCTGGTTCAATTTTATTCTAATGGCTACTTTTTTTTCCTTTTTTTTTTCGTGGATATCTAATGGCAAAATTCCTGATTATTAATTTTTACGCTTATTGGGTTGGTGAAGTTTAAGAATAACTATGTCTGAGCTGTGTATATTTTGGTTTTCTTTGGTGTGGTGGCAGAGCATTGTCCGAGTGAGTGGCAGTGCGCACTGAGCAAAGCTTTTCTTGAAGAGGCTGCAATGCTTCTTTCTCGATGCCGACCCTTTATTTTTGTAGATGTTGAGGCTAGGCAAGACCCAGGAAAGTATAGATTTGCTCCAAGCGCCATCTCCGCCGGTATCCTGCTCTCGAGGTGGTTGAGTACAGGAACGAACAGGAAAAATTACTTAGTCGGTTTATCCGTTGCTGTTTATTACTGAGTTTGCTATGATTTATGATTGGTGCAATTGACCTATAATTACAAGTTTTCTGGCCGGTTTCTTTAACCTATATATTTGTTTGATTTTTCTTTGGTGGTTATTTAATCAAGCATTACTTTAGGATAATTTTCTCAAAGGCCATTTTTGTTGATTTAACTATCAGCTCAAATACGTTTTTCCTTTACGAAAAACTAGATTTTGGTGCTGACCCGCCTCGAATGTATGCACTGTATTAGGTTTCATATGATTTTATCTAAATCTATCGAAGTTTCTGATTTTATCGTATAGATTGTGTGGGGAAAATTATTTACCTGATCGACACTTGGGTGCAAATTACAACTTATGTGCATCGCTCACGTCTGTATATTTTGAATGTTGTAGGACTTCACGAATTGAGGCTTTCGTAATAGTTATGTGGAATGCTATCAGTTTCATACCTGGAATCGGCATATAGTTTGAAGCTTTAATAATATGTCTGTGGAATGCAATCAGTTTCATACCTGGAATCGGCATATAGTTTGAAGCTTTAATAATACATCTGTGGAATGCAACCAATCTCATACTTGGAATCGGCACAGTCCCGTTCTCCTGCC